GGGTCGAGACCCCTTTGGCGGTCGAACGACCCTTTCACAGGGGTCACCTAAGACCATCCTGCATATCAGATATTTACATTACGATTCATAACAGTAGCAACATTACAGTTGTGAAGTAGCAATGAAAATAATTTTATGGTTGTGGGTCACAACATGAGGAACTGTATTTAAAGGGCCAGAAGGTTGAGAACCACTGGATTAGACGGATCAGGGCTCCAATCCTGCCTCAGCCGCTTCCTTGGCCTGTGACCTTCTGGGCAAGTTGCTTCACCTCTCTGAGCCTCGGTTCCTTCATCTGCAAAATGGGTCCAATCACGTGCACCTTGTGGAGTTACTGAGATAACTAAATGCTATACAAACAGGCGTGGCACAGGGCAAATGTGCCTCTTTGTGCCCCTTTCCTACCCACACTCTGAATGCTGTGCGAGGAGCCAGCCAAGGGAGACCAGGTCTCTCCCCTCCCCAGCAAACCCTGCCCTCCCCACCTCCCCGCTGCCCTGCGCCACCAACTCCAGCCGCAGCAGCTGCGTTTAATTGGATTGAACTTAATAGTTTTATCGGATGCCTTTGGTTCAGGGGACGAAGAGGCCTCTGGGTAATTCGCACGTTTTTTTCCACAAACCAAATAAAGAGCTGCTAACCATAAACAAGTCCGTTTTAATTGGATTAAGGGGAGGCTTGGCTTGGGGACTTTAAACCGTGGAGGAGCTGGAGCAAAAAGGGCTCTTGGAGGTTTCAGATTTTCCGCTTCCTTGGGCCCCAGAGCCCTTGACACCAGGTGCTGGCTTCCTTCCAGAAGATTCCGGTTCCCAGTGCCCCAGTGGAGCAGAGGAGAGCTGTCCCTGCTCTGATTAAAGTTTCGTAAACTGATAAGCGCACGGGCTCTGGAGCCAGCCAGGCTGCCTGGGTTCGAATCCCACTTCCGCCTTCTATTCCCTTTGGTCACGTGATTTTTACCTCCCCGAGCCTCAGTTTCCCCACTTGGAAAATGCCATAGGGTTGCTGCGAGGATTAATTTAGCTCATCAAGTGTTTGGCAGAGTGCCCGTGCCGGTTCAGTTCTTGATTAATGCCAGCTCATCTTTATTTATCATGGTCATTGATTTTCCTCCCAGCAAGTTCTTCCCATCATCGGCACCCCAGTCTCTCCCCATAAGATGAAGGGTTGGTGCCATTCGTTTCCCAGGTTCCCTCTGGCTACGATTTCCTGGCTCTGAGGTCTCGACCCTAGACCACACAAGTCTCTCCCAGCAGCCACCCTTCTAGCCCATGTGACACCCCTTTTCTCAAAATAGAAAAGGCGCCCCTTCCTCCAGTCACTTCAATACCATTTTCCTGAAAGATGTCAGGTGCAGGGAGAGTCAGTGTCTGTTGAGGGCTCTTTTCCTGGTTTGCAGAGGGCCACCTTCTTGCTGTGTCCTCACAGGGTGCAAAGAGAGATCTGGTGCCTGTTCCTTTTTTATAAGGCCCGGCCCTCATGACCTAATGGAATCCTCCTCACTTCTGAAGGCCTGCTTACCCCCAACACCAGCACCCTGGGGGATGGGGCTTCAACATACAGATTTGGGAGGCCGAGAGCCTTTAGTTCATAGCAATCCTTGATCCCGTACGTTAGCCAAGGGCAGACAGGTCCCAGAGTTATTGCAAATGGAATTTCTCATTTGCAAAATCTTCCAAAACAGCATTAATGATAATAGTAAAGATAATACCTTTGCTCTTTTCCTCCCTGTGTATATGGTGACTGTGCCTAGCACAACCACCCCAGTCGTTCTATTCCGTGATAATCTCCATTTTAGAGACAAGGAAAGTGAAGCTCAGAGATGTTTGGCTGCTGGTCCCTGATCACACAGCTGAGCCCAAATGTAAGTCAGGTTAGTCAATGCATGAGGAGCTCCCTGACCCATTCCCACCCATTTCACAGAAGGAATGAATGAATGAATGAAGCAATGAATGAGCAGCTCCTCTTTCATTACATTACATCAGGGTTTGTCAGCATTGGCCCTACAAATATTTGGGGTCAGATTTATATATATATAAAATATATATATTTTATTGATTTCAGAGAGGAAGGGAGAGGGAGAGAGAAACATCAATGATGAGAAAGAATCATTGATTGGCTGCCTCCTGCACGCCCCCTACTGGGGATCGAGCCCACAACTTGGGCATGTGCCCTTGACCGGAATTGAACCTGGGACCCGTCAGTCCACAGACCGACGCTCTATCCACTGAGCCAAACCAGCTAGAGCATGGGGTCATATTATTCTTCATTGTGGCTGGTTGATATGTGCTTTATAGAATGTTGAGCACTATCCTAGGTGTCTCCCTAATAAATGCAATAGCATCTCTCCCTCTCCCAGTTGTGAAAACCAAAAACTATCTCCAGACATTGTTAAATATCCCTGATGCATAATTCCGCGCCCCCCCCCCCCCATAATTGAGAGCCACTGTTTTAGAGATTAGGGTTTCACATTCGGTTTTGATTGAAGATAGAGTTCCGCTGCCCTACTTTGGAAATGGCTAGATCGGATGATTTTTAATTCCCTGCTTTTTGTCCTGAGGGTTCTCCACGCTGCCTGTAGCTACATGCAGGACTCTGTGTGTGGGGGGTGTACGTGTATGCTCACATCTTCCTGGGGAGACGATGCGTGGTTTTCATGCGATTTGCAAGCTGATCTGAGAAGCCCTTTCTGCAGTCCCTTCCCAGTCTGACGATTGGCACTTCGAGGGTTTAAGCACCTCTTTCTCTTTTGTTCTGCACCCCCTGCCCTCAAATTTCCCTCCACCAACATCATCATAAAAGGGTCTCAGGCCATCGTTTCTTCTCCAGCACAGTCTCTCCTGGGGATGACGCTTGCCTCCATCAGCCGGGAGGGCCGGCAGTGGAGGCAAAAAGGAGAGAATTTCTGGAGAATCACTGAGCTGTGCGGAGTATGAGATTATTGCTTGGCAGTTGCCATGGGAACCTATAAACCAACTTTGCTGCTCAGAACCCAAAGTCATCTGGGGCTCCGGCTCGCAGCCTGCTGCCCGAGTGATGGCCTTGCCTCTCTCTCCTTTACCCCACCCCTGGGTCCTCGGCCCCACAAAGGCCAGCTGCCTTCTCCATGTTGCTTTGCCAGACCCATCCCTCCCTTCTTGGCTCTGGGCTCATGCCTCCCCCTGGGATGCAGGATGGTGTTTAGACATAGGGACTGAGGCTTGGCTGCCTGAGTTCAAAGCCCAGTTTTATCATTCCCCGCTGTGTGACACTGAGTGAGTTACTTAACCTCTCTGAGCCTTGGTTTCCCCGACTGTAAAATGGGGGACCTAGTGTTCCCGTCTCCCAGTGATGTGATACACAGGAAGTGGGTAGCATAGCGCCCAGCGTGTAATTAGTACTCAATACACATTAGCTGCTATCATCCCTGTGCGTGGTTTTACATTCCCCGTTCTTCTTGGCCGTTGTCTGGGCAGGTGGATCCTTCTATCCATTCACCCCAAAGTTCGTGGGAGCTGAGAGGTTGGTGGGTGGTGTTAAATGCAATCGATGTATTCATCCTTTGATTGGCTAAATATCTGCTCATTCCCTAGTCTGTGCCAGGAAATCCAAAGGTGAAGTCCCTGACAGAGTTCATGCCCTGTTCACTCACACACACACACACACACACACACACACACACACACACACACACACACACACACACACACACACAATATGAGAGAGACACACACCACATGGCTAAAGCGATCAGACAATGGCCATGTCCAGAGCTGTGACGGCAGAGGTTAGAGAAGTCTCTGAACTTGGTTCTTGGGTCAGGCGGGGGCGGCTGCCTGGAAGAGGAAGAGCTGAGTCTCAAGGGGGCAGAGACATCAGCCAGAACAAAGCTTTCCAGGTGGAGGGGACACCGTGCCTAGAGTCACAGAAAAGACAAGAAATGGCACAGTGTGTGCCTGTGTGCTTTGGGCAGCTGTGTGCTGGTAAATACTTAACAACCGGCTCTCCCCCCAACCCCCCAAAAGAACACCCCAAACCAAAACTAAAAATCCTGACTTTGTTGCATTTGCCATTTTCCCTGGTGTAAATATTCTCACTGTGGCCAATTTCAAGCTACCAATGTGATGTGACTGAGTGTGAATTGGAGAGAATATGTGCATCATTGGCTCTTGAGAGCCCGTATGAGTGGGCCACACCACACCACTCATGGGGTTTGAGGATTCAAGTTGGGGGGGAGGTATGTGGGGGTGGGGGTGGAAAGAGAAAGCCCAGTTCAGCACTACTGAGAGAACATTCCAGACAGTGAGGGGCATGACTCAAGCCTGCTTCAGCTGATGACTGGTCGCTTTTCTCTGAACACCTTTCATATTCCTGATTCAGGAAGTCAACAGCATTTCCCGAGCACCTACTATGTGCCAGGTGCTGTGCTAGGGCCAGGGATGCATGGATCATATGCATGACTCAAGCCTGCTTCAGCTAATGACTGGTCGCTTTTCTCTGAACGCCTTTCATATTCCTGATTCACTGATTCAGGAAATCAACAAGCATTTCCCGAGTACCTACTATGTACCAGGTGCTGTGCTAGGGCCAGGGATGCATGGATCATAATGCATGGAAGGCCAGGGATGCATGGAGGATATTGACGATCCTTTGTGGGCGTCTGCTGTCCTGGTGCCTGGACACGGGCCAGTAGTTATCAACAAGGCAACTGGGAACACAACTTTGCCTCCCGCAGGCCCACAGCATCCCTCCCACCGACGCCTGGCTTTTTTGAAAACCTGTTTCAGAAGGTCTGGGATAAGGGTTGGGCATTCTCAGATTTGGAGGCCCAGGTAACTATGGTTACAGGTTGGGTACCTGCCCCTCCCTCCAGTCCCTCATTGTAGGACACACACACGTCTTGTCCCCACCAAGATCAACCGTCTTTCTCACTTCTGGTGACTGCTCACTCCCCAGCATTGTTTAGTAAATGACTCAGGATACACAGAAACCGTTTCGTTGGAACACACTCTATTCCATAATGACTGTTCAGTTCAATTAGCTCTCAGCGGCCTGAAAGGCAGACGCGGGGCCTGCTCGGATGCCTCCCCACCTTCGTTTGAAATTGGATTTAAGGCGGCGGGTACTGGGGGGTGGGTGAGGGGACGAATATTTTATCACCTCTTCCTCCTCGATGTTCCGCCTGTTTCTTCTCATTTCCATGTTTCTCCCCCTGCACGCCGGCGGATCGCAGACTGTAAATTTGAGGGGAAATTGTCAGCGTGCAAACGTCCATAATGATGTTCAGTTCAATTAGCTCTCAGCGGCCTGAAAGGCAGACACGGGGCCCGCTCGGATGCCTCCCCACCTTCGTTTGAAATTGGATTTAAGGCGGCGGGTACTGGGGGTGGGTGAGGGGATGAATATTTTATCACCTCTTCCTCCTCGATGTTCCGCCCGTTTCTTCTCATTTCCATGTTTCTCCCCCCCTGCACGCCGGCGGATCGCAGACTGTAAATTTGAGGGGAAATTGTCAGCGTGCAAACGTGATAAATAAACATGTTGCTTTCGCGAGGACGATGCGATGATCACCTAGATTTACAGCCCTCCTCGCCGCCGGTGTGTTGCATTTTGGGAGAAGCTGAGCGAGGTTTTCGGTTTTCGTGGGTTCCCTTGACCAACTTTCTGCCCTTTGCCCCCATCACCCCACTCCCCCCCCCAAGTCACTTAAATATCAGTCTAAAAGGGGGGGAGCAATTGGTCTCCCTGGAAGTGATGCATCTTGACAGGTGTTTTCTTTGGGGACATTATTTATAGCTGCAAAAGCAATCCTACGTGGGGCGCTTTTGTCTCCTCCCTCCCCATTTGCTGTTTCTCTGAGATTGAACGTATTTTTATTTTCCCAGTGGGAAAAAGTACCAAAAAATTGATTTAACCACCCCCTCCCAGCCTCTCCACATTTTCTACCCTGTTCTGTCTTCTATCTTTGGGACAGACTCTGGGTTGTTGGTTGGAACCCAAGGGTCCTCCCCTGAGCAAATGGATCACCGTCTCTGTGCCTCTCACGCCCCTAGGGCTGCTCTTGATCTCCCGCGCTCCTCGTCACTAATTTATAGGGAGAACTGAACGCGTTATTTCCGTGTCTGGCTCCACCTCCCC